TCACTAAGTCACTAAATTACCTTCCTCAGCCTTCCATAGTGCTATGATTTCAGGTGTGCACCACCACATCTGGCTTGGATTTGTTTTGTTTTGTTTTAACATTATGGAAATGTTTCTTTGGGGCTGGTCTTACATCCCTTCAAGTGCTTCATATTTCCATGTTTCATGTATGGCTGTTGCCTGATTCCTTCTGCAGCTTTCTTTTGCTGAGTGTGAGTTCTATTTGTTCAGGCAAATCTTCTCTCTGATCCCCTTTTCCAGGCTTTTGGGGCTTAGTTCTTTCTGTTACTGGAACACCTGAGGTATACGTGTCTACCTATCGGAAGAAGGAAAGCAGTCTCCAGCTCATGGTCTGGAGGTGGAAAAGCACCACCCGTGTCCTGTATGCCCTGCTTCTCCCAGTAGCACCCCACCCCAGTCTTCACTGCAGAATGCAGGGGAGAACAGGCAGATTAGATGCATTCTCACGGGCCTGCAGCTCCTTTTCTCCTGGAGTTTGCCAATTTCTGTAGATCATGTCCCTGAGTGTACCGCTGTCCCATCTTGCTCTAAGAATCTGGCCTCACGTCATTTACAACTAAGGCAAGATGCTGATCAAGGCAGGACAATACCTAGGAAATGCCAGATGAGTGCTGTGGAGTATTCAAGTTTGAAAGATGAAGGAGAAGGGATTGAAATCGTTTTGGAAGCCTAGGCCTCTGTCTGGTTTTCAACATGATTGCAAAGATCATTCAATGGCTAGCAAATAGTCTCTTCCCAGCCGGGTGTGGTGGCCCATGCCTTCAATTCCTGCTTTTTGGGAGGCTAAAGCAGGATGATCACAAGTTCAAGCCTAGCCTGAGCTACTTAGAGACTTAGAGAGACACTATCTCAAAATATAAAGTAAAAAAGGGCTAGGATGTACCTTAGTACAAGGGCTCTGTGTTCATTTCCCCATACTGAACTAGTCTCTTCCCTGCAGGACATTGCAATGCAGTCTTGTAGTCATAGCTACTCAGGAGGCTGACACAGGGTTGCTTGAGCCTAGGTGATCAGGACCAGCTGGGGCAAAAAATTAGTCTCTTCAAATACTGGCCAGGCATGGTAGTTCATGCCTGTAATTCCAGTAGCTAGGAGGCTGAGGCAGGAAGATCACAAATAAGCCCAGCCTTGGCTACATAGTGAGATCCTGTCTCAACACAACAACAAAAAACCTGGAAATGGATGTGTACCTGGAAAAGAATGAAGCTGGGCCCCTGCCTTCCACTATGTATGTAAAAGCTTAGGAGAAATCAGCAAACTAAATAGAGGAGCTAAAACCATAATACTCTGGAGAAAATAGAGGCTTAAAGTCATCTCTCTGGATCTGACAATGGATTGTAGGTAGGCCATCAAAAGAAGAAGCAGCAAAAGCAAAACATATAAATTGTACTTAATTGAAATTGAAAATTTTGCTCTATCAAAGAATATTATTTTTAAAATGAGAATACAACCTACACGAAAAGATAAAGAATACCTCAATTCACAAACACTTCTGTTTGCAAATAATTCAGTTTACAAACAAAAGCCTTCAGCAAAATTTTGCTTCGGTTTGCAAACTTTACATCAGGTGACAAATGGGTCACAGTCATCTTCCCATACAAATACTAATGCAGCCATCTTCCCCAAAATTGTAAAACAAATGAAGTTCGTAAACCAAGGTACCCTGTATTTGTAAATCATATGTCTGATGAAGGTCTAGAATCCAGAGTATAGAAAATATTCATAATTTAACAACAAAAAGACAACCTAATTTTAAAGATCATCAAAGAATTTGAATAGACATTTCTCCAAACAAGATAAGTACATGGCCAACAAGCACTTGCTAGATGCTAAACATCATTTATTATTAGGGAAATGCAAATCTAAACTACAGTGAGTGCCACTTCACCCCTACCAGGATAGTTATAATCACTAAATGGAAAATAAATATTGGTGAGTATGTGGCAATTTTATCTCTCCTACTTTGTGGGTGGAAATGTAAAATGGTATAGCTCCTATGGAAAATAATTTGGTAGTTCCTCAAAAAGTTAAACATTGAATATATATACCCAATCAAATCATCCCTTAATATCAACCTCAAATCATCAATAACAGGCACTTAAACACATATGCATGCACTTTCACAGCCGTACCATTCACAACAGCCAAAAAAGTGGAAACAACCCAAATGTCCCATCAACAAATGAGTGGATAAAAAGTGTGTGTGTATGTGTGTGTGTGTGTACAATGGCATATTAGTTTGGGCAGACATAAAAGGTCTCATGATGTCATTTATAGAAAATATGCAGAATAGGTAAATACATGGAAAAAGAAGGAGGTAGACTGGTCATTCATTGTCAGGGGCTGGGAAGGGGAGATGAGGGGAGTAATTACTCAGTGGGTACAAGATTTCCTTTTGAGGTAATGAAAATGTTCTGAAACTATTGGGAATGTTGACATGCAACTGAATTGTTCACATTGAAATTATTCATTTTATATGAGTAAAGAAAAGAAAATCTGGGGCCAGGGATGTAGCTCAGTAGCGCCACGCCTGCCTGGCAAGTATAAGGTCCTGAATTCGATACCTGGTACCAAAAAAAAGGAAGTAAAGAAAATCTGGACCCCACTAGGTGCATAAAACTTGGGAGTGGGCTTAAAGAAAGTATAAAGAGAATATTTAAGGTTAAAAGAAAGTGCAAAATAGAAACCAGTTGGAGTTTGAGCTGGTGAGTTTTTGGCAGAGAGCTTGTACGGATCATGAAGACTGGCTTGTTTTTGAGTCATAGGTGTGAGGAAACATGCTGTTTAACAAAGGCCTCTATCAACTCAATTCTATGGGCAGTGGAGAATCAGTGTGTGTGTGTGTGTGTGTGTGTGTGTGTGTGTGGTACTGGGGATCAAATAACCCAGGGCCTTTGCAGTAAGCTATATACCTGACCCTTTCTATTTTTATTTTGAGACAGGTTCTTGCTAAGTCATTAAATTATTCATTAACAAGGGTCTATTAACTCAATTCTATGGGCAGTGGAGAATCAGTGTGTGTGTGTGTGTGTGTGTGTGTGTGTGTGGTACTGGGGATCAAATAACCCAGGGCCTTTGCAGTAAGCTATATACCTGACCCTTTCTATTTTTATTTTGAGACAGGTTCTTGCTAAGTCATTAAATTATTCAGGCTGGGGTCATGTTGTGATCATCCTGCATCAGCTTCCCAGAGTTATAGGCATGCACCGTCACTCCCAGCTCAGAGTGGCTTTTGATTAGGAGAGGAACATTGTAGAAATGGATTGTGGAAATGTCAACAGTTATGTAGGAGAATTAAATCAGGGAAGACCTCAAGCTTGGTAGACAGCATAGAGGCTGTGATACTGAACACATGCAGGCCTAAGCTGTGATCACCTGGCCTAGAGAGGAATAGTAGTAGTAGCTATGGTTACCGCTCACTAGGTGCCAATTAATGCTCCTTCTGGCTTAACTCATTTACTATATATGGATCCCAGAGAGTGGGAAATCTTTTCCCCCAGTGAAGAGTTGAGGAAACAGAGACTCAGAGTAGCTTAGTAACTTGCCTGAGGCTGCACAGCTGCTAATATGGCCTAGATTTGAACCCAGGCATGTTGACTCCAGAGCCACCAGTTTCAATTGTGATACAGACATGAATGTAAGATTTTGTTTTCTGAGACCAGGTCTCAATCTGTAGTTCAGGCTGGCCTTGAACTCACCATGTAGCACAGGCTGGCCTCAAACTCTCAGTGATCCTCCTTCCTCAGCTTCCCAAGTGCTGTGATTACAGGAGTGCACCACCATGCCTGGCAAGATTTTTTTCTGAAGCCCACTCACTCACTAACTTGTCAGGTTGAGGAAGGGAAAAGAGGAAGAAGGAGCACCGAAGCATTTTCCTCCTGGGTAGCCACGAGCTGGTATGAGCCTGGGGAGGTGACTGGCAGATAGACCTCTGGAACAGAGCTCATGTTCTTTACCTGTGCTTCCCACCCTCTGTCCCTCCTGAGCCAACTCCCACCCTCCTAGAGTCCCTGCCAGCATCTAGAGGCAATTGTCAGGCAGTTGGCTCACCGACAGCCATGCCTATAATCCTAGCAGTCTGGGAGGCCAGGACAGGAGAATCATGAATTGGAGCTCTGCCAGGACAACTTAGAAAAATCCTGTTTCAAAATTTAAAGCATTAAAAGTGGGTGGGGAGTATAGCTCAAGTGCAGAGACCTTGGGTTTAATCCCAGGTACTGAAGAAAAACAAAAAACGACCCCTTCTACCATCCCCAGGGTTGCTGGACCCAGGAGGCCCCGGAGGTAGGTGTGGGAGAGGCGTGGTGAGACTTCTCATCTTCGCACTCATAGCTAACATTTAAGACGAAAAACATTAGTGTGGGTGATCTGCCTTCTCTGAGGCTCACGAGCTGTGGGAGCAAACTGTGGTAAGAGCGTCTGGGAGGTGTTGGCCGTCAGTCTTTCGGATGCCTCGCCTCACAGCAGCCTTTCCCGCAGCCCCTTGCAACCTCTTCTCCGCAGTGCGCCTCTTTCCCCAGACGCGGCTCCAGCCACAACATTCTCCAGATCCCTGCTCCCGGCCCTCGTCCTCACGAGTCCTCCTCCGTGAAATGTCTCCTTCTGTTTTGCCTTGTCAGATGCCGGTCAGCCTCAGGATTCAGCTCATGTGCTTCACTTCACTGTCCCTCTAAACCTGCCCCAGAGCCCTCTGCTGTGGACAGGACGTGCCCATTTCCACGTCGGTGCCTGTGTACATAAATGTCATTCCCGCTTTCCGGACAGCCAGCAGGCACCGAGAGAAGCTAAGGATTTGCCCGAATTCTTAGCTAGTAAATCAAGGAGCTGATTCCAAATTCCATGCTCTGCCCAACAACCCATTGGTGGGGTTCAGAGTGGCGCCTGGCTGAGGCCGGCCCTGAAGCTCTGCTGTAAACCCTCAAAAGAAGAAACACGACAAAGCATCGCTAATCCATTTCCCGTCTTTCTCCTGGGTCCAGGTGGAAGTGAAGCCATATGTGCTGGATGATCAGATGTGTGACGAGTGCCAGGGCACGCGCTGTGGAGGGAAGTTCGCCCCGTTCTTCTGTGCCAACGTCACCTGTCTGCAGTATTACTGCGAGTACTGCTGGGCGAGCATCCACTCCCGCGCCGGGCGAGAGTTCCACAAGCCGCTGGTGAAGGAGGGAGGCGACCGCCCTCGTCACGTCCCGTTCCGCTGGAGCTGAGCCGGGCCGACCCAGCCACAAGTACTGGAGTAGATAACGAGGAGGGAAAAGAGAGGGCACTGCCTCAGGGCTTACAGTGTTCTGGAAATCTGTGCATTCGTTCTCGATTTTTAAAGAAGAAAATGGGTCTTTTTATTATTACTATCATTTACAGTCATATTACTGAACTCAGTGTCCAGTATAATGCAAAATTGCAGAGTGAAAACGGTACTGATTTGCACTTTGATTCACACGTTTGTCTGCTTGGTACCTTAATTTCTTACACCTGATTTGTCACTCGTGACAGTACATAGACTGCCATTCTCATCAGCGGCCATCAGGTTGATGTCTGTGATTCTTTTATTTGTTATTGTGTTGTTGTCTGATTGTTTTTAAACTGGAGCATGCACTTATTTTCAGAAACTTAGAGAATTGCCCCTAGGACAAGACTTACCAAAGGTAATACTCGTGAGTAGGTGGCAGATGTAGCAAAAACTTCACAACAATTCAACAATTGTTAGTTGGGGTCTTTTAGAATAAGGATAACCCTTAATAAAATAAGCCTTCAGTTGCTCTGTATTTTGACTCTTAAGGATACCTCATGAGCTGGATCTTTATTTTTTTCCTTCATGTTTGATTTTTATTTTGCTGAGGATTTTGGTTAGATCTTTTAGTGTTATGTAAATTTATGCTGCAATAGCTTTTGCTGCTATTAAAATGGTATATTAATACCGTAATACTCTATTCAGGCTAAGGTATCAATTAAAAACAAAAACAAAACCCAACAACACACTTTTGTGATTTAGGGATAGAGTCAACTGCCGAAAGGAAATCAGAACAGACTTTAGAAAGCTTCAATGGAAGGTCACTATTTCTGATTGCATGTTTACTTAATCAGGTTGCTGCATGCAATAAATTTTATATCCAATGTCTAGTATAAAACCTTCCCACAATGCACAAATTAAGAATCTATATAAGCTATAAAATACTCATTTTTTTAAAGAAAGATTTTTTTTTTCATTAAAGAATTGGTAATTGAATGGAGGAAGGCATGCCTTGATGAATGGACCGCTTCTGAGTAGGAAGAGCCTAGAACAGAAGGACCTATATTACAACCAATATAAACCTAGGTGTAGGATATTCTTAAAGCAAACTTGTGGATGGTAAATGAAGTACTTTGCGGTGCTCTGTTATCTATTGTGCAATTTATTTTATATAGTAAAGTGATTATGTCTAACTGTGATCAAACTTAACTGTTTTAAGCCTCTGTGTCAGACATTAATGAACTTGACAGTTCCTAACTGGTATATAGTTAAGTAACATGAGCTCTTCGTTACAATGTCCTAGTGCTTGCACCATTTTGCGTAGTTTCAGACCTTGTCCCGAAAACCAAAGAGCTCATCTTAGCTTACAAACACTAAGAAATATATACAGTATCTAGAGATAAATTGTCAGATTGACAAACTAGGCACATCTTTTAAAAAGTTGTGTAACGGTGATGCTAAAGAAATGTCTGTACAAAATAAGATGGCCTGGGCAAAGTTGGTTGTCTGGGTGAGAAATTAACTACTTAATCCCCTGGATTTATCCTGTAAAGCTTGAATAAAATTAAGCCCTGCTAATACTACCGTGGACATTTTTTTAGCATTCACTCTTGGGCTGCAGATAGTAATAAATAAACACACACAATGATTGCGAGACTACGTAAATCTTTTTTTAAATCTTCTTCCTATGTTTTGGAATTCTGGGGACAATCTGACTGGATATGACACTGCAGAATAGGTTTTAAGTCACTGTGTTTTATGTGCTGTGATGTCCGTGTACTGTCTTAATTTAGCAGTGCTTGTTTTGTTTTTTTGTTTTTTGTCTTTTTCCTCCAGTGTTTAGTTGCAGTTACTGGCTCTCAAATAATAGTTTGTTTTCGAAAAGGAAAAACAAAGTAGTTTTTTACTAAATTAAAAATGCTGTTAGAATCCTCCCCTTATGAGGTTACCTCTGGGCTTGTTGGTAATAATTGTTTTTTTCCAGCCCAGGTGTGATTTTGTTTTGTTTTGTTTTGTTTTATATGTTTGTGATTTTGTTTTTAATTTTTTATCTGTACAAGAAATTTTGTTATGCACTACTACGTTTTGTATTCTAGACAGTTTTCAAAGTTGGCTGAAGATTTTTTTGTTTGTTTGTTTTTAAGGAAAAAGGCATGCTTTCTGACTGACATGATCTTTTGCAATACCTCAATTTTGAAATATAGGAAAGAAAATGATATTTTCTAAGTAAGTTTATTCAGAAAATATATATTAATTTAATTCTGCAAGAAAATGATTTAACAGATGGGTAACTTTATTTTTTTCATGCTTATTTGTGTTTTTTGAAAATGAAGAAGTTAGAGCTTTATAACTATAATATTAAAGATCATATCTAACCTACAGAAATCTACCTAATTATGTGAAAGAAGCAAAACTTTTTGAAGAAGCACCCCTCTTTCATGTACTAAAATAACACTGAGATTTTTAAAAAGCTGAAAGACTGCACAGCATAAGACTGAAGTGAAGGCAAAAAAAAAAAATGTCATGAAGAATAGGTTACAAAAAATAAACTCCATTTGGTGCTGAAAGTTATGAATAGATGGTGGAAACTACTTTCCCTTAATTTGTATATTTATAATCAAGCATTGATTGTGCACGACTGACCAGGATTGTGAAAGAGTTCTTCTGTTTGTATTTTTTTAAAGAGAACTTTTTTAGTTTATTAAATTATAACATGTTCCCTTTTGTTTTGTAAATAAATGTGCCCCCAAGTTCTTAATGTATTAAAAGAGAGGGTCCTTCAAAAAAATTATTTTTTAAAACATAGAGGTGTTCTGACCTGCAACTTGACTGGGAAGCCCCTGGGTAACACAGGTCCTGTTGTGGCCTTTCCTTGATGTGACACTTGAACTAGTCGATTTTTTGAAGGCTATAACCTAACCTCGACTATTTGTTGTTATGTGCAATACTGTTTGTACTGTTTGTATAAAAAATAGAAAAAAAAAAGAAAAGAAAAAAGGCATAAATCTTTATTGCAGATTTATTTTCATTGCAAACTTTAGACATTGTGATTCACTGAAATCATTTTTCTACTGTCAGATATGTACCTTTTCTTCATGCTGGTATTTTTTCAATAGTAATGTAGCCTTTGTACTGAGACAAATTTTCATTGTTATTTTTAGAAAGATTTTTTGCTAAGAAAAAAATTAAACATATTTACATATTTTTCATTTTATTTCGTATTTTCTTTAAGGAGTGCTTTCTCAATCATTAATAGAGTTGTTTCTGGGAGGGACTTTCATATCTGGTCAATGTCATAATATTATTTTGTATTTTTCTTGGAATAAATTAATTTTATGATGCTAATTCTTTAAAAGTTTATTTTTTTCATTTTCAGTTATTTTTGAAGCTAAAACCTTTGTAATATTGTTACTAAAGTGTCTAGTTTTTTGAAATGCAAAGCTTTATGTATTATCTTGCTGATGTGGTTTACAATAGCGTGACAACGATGAAAATGGTTGGTTATGTAAAGTGACTGGAAATGTAATGGATCATTGGGTAATAAAATGACAGAATGAGCAGAACATGTGAAATTTTGACAAGCCTTTTCCTTTATTACAGTGGTGTAGTGTAAGACTAGGGATGTCACAGTACAGTTCTCTAGGGATGTCACAGTGGGTTTATACAACACCAGACGCAGCCAGATCTGTGGCCCTGATACAGAAGTCACCCTACTGAAATACCACTGGGGTTCAAACCTAGCTAGGTCAACAGAATGTTTCATTGCTTTTCCCCCTCTAACTTCATTTTGTCGTGTGTGTGTGTGTGTGTGTGTGTGTGTGTGTGTATCTGCCACCACCTGCTGTCCATGTGTGAGATGGTGCCTTTCTCTCCCAAATCTTTTATATGCATCTACAGTGGTGACATCTGTGAATCCAAGGAAGTGGCTGAGAAGACACCAGCTTCTAGGTAACACAGACCAACTACAGTGTCACACGGTGGTCCTTCCCTGGAAGGGTGGGTTGGTGGCAGTGAGGAAACACACCTGGATGTCACCACTGTATGGACACTGTGTGTGTGTGAGGTTGCATCTCCCTCCACACCCCTGCCTGCTCTCTCTTACCCCCCCAGCCCCAGCCGCCTTTTACTGTGGCAACACATCGGGCCCCTCCATGCATGATCTGTCTGCCCTCCTACTGCTCTTTCCCAGTCCCTGCCTCACCTGGAAGCCGTGCTGTTCAGGCAGTGTGGCACTGCAATGGCGCCTAAAATTAACACAGAAAGATCATACAACTGCAAAACTGGTGTTGCGTAAACAGGACATCCAATGACTTGCTCTAGCCAGATGGTGTGTTTCTACTAGTCAGTGGTGGCCTCTTCCAGCTCCATAGCCATGGAGGCGAGGTTAATCAGTAACTCGGAGGAACTTGAGTCCAGAGATGGCTCCTGGGTATGCTCTATGTATTCAGTTTTGTAAATAATATATAGATTAGATCAAGTTGTGATGTAAAATTTTAACTCAAATTGGGTACTATTGTTGGAATTTTACATTAACTACAAATAAATGATTAGGAACAGAAGAAAAGAAATTGGAAAAATTCTTGTTTAGTGGTATAAAGATTATGCTTAGATTTCTGCCTATATCTTGTGTTTTATAGCTTGTTAGTGAGGCATGGGCTCATGCAGAATGTCCTGCATTTATGCAATTAGCAAATAACTGCTAGTTTTCATTTTATCTATTATATTAGCAACAATGGCATTTAACTGGGTAAAGCTCCTACCTAAATATTTGAGTATTGTGACATCTCTACTTGCAAGGTTTGAATGAAAGATTAGTCACAGATTAGTGAAAAAAAGTATCTTTTGTTAAAACTGGCTTATTTGTGTGGACTGTTGCTTTTTCACTAGCTTGTATGGTATGTCAGCTAACCTTTCTTTCTGTTCTTTTTTTCTTTTATAATAACCAGACTTCTCTAGCTCAGCTGCAGTAGTGTTCCATCTTACCACAGAGTATTTCATAATTAATGCTGTTGACTTTGTACCCCACAATGGGTCAAGGATGGGTTTATGATTCAGGGATGTTTAAATTTTGTAAGACGAGGATGTTAATTGCAACAAGTAGAAAACTTGGGTGCTAATAAC